ATCCCAGGGATGGGAGAGTGAGGAGGCAGCTCCTGGTCTGTAGGCGTGGACCAAGTACTGGCAGCTGAATCCGTTGCAGAAGCTTGTCTGTAAGAAAAGATTCAGTTATAAATACCTCACTCGAGTCTGTTTTGACTCATTTGAGCATGTATTAATTTTTAGGCACCAAAACAGCTCCATCCTATATTTTTGGATAGTGCCCAGCACACGGAGGTCCTGGTTGACCTGTGATTTTTGTACGGTGGGGAAAAGTAATTTGATATTAGTATTAAAAGCCCGCAGACACTGAGAGACGTTGGTTTGCAGGAATTCTAGGTTGCTGTTGTTGATCAGCTGCTCTGAAGCAGTGTTGATGTCATAAGAGGATGGCATATACATCAGAAACGGAGAAGGATTTCTTTTCCCTGACAAAACTTTCTTTCTGCATGGAAAATAACGTTGTTCAGGAATGTGACTTCAAATGGTGTCTGAATGGAGAGACTAAAGAAAGTCATTGTGGGCGCTAACTGCAGACTCGCGTAAGCAAGGTGAACGTAATTGGGTATTTATTGAAAGTGTGGTCACTGCCACTCTTCCCGGGTGCTTTTCTCACCCTGTCAGGTGTCATTCAAAGTCCCAGGCTTATTTTTAGACATGCCTGACTACTGAGAGCAGTTGCAAGGCTGAGAATCATCAAACGTGTTTATTTAGAAAGACGCTCAGCACTGGGTTTAATGGCAGGTGTGATTCCATGCGCCTTAAACTGATATGAAACATCAGCCTGGCTACTTTGTGAGAAACATGATTGTTTTCTCTCTATTCTGTAGACAACAGCTAAAAAGAGAATATGAAAGTCCACAGCGCATCAGAGGTTTAGATACATCCTTCATTAATTTATCAAGTTTTCACACTCTTTTTGTACAGTTACCTTTAGAGAACAAGACGGAAGGTATATCAGTAAGCTGATAATATTGTGGTTTTTTTTTTCCTCCTTTCTCCCTGAACTTTCTTCAGGAAGAGGAGACGGAATGGCAATGAAGATGATGGTCATATTCCCCAGACAAAACGTAGTACCAGGAATACTGTCCTTCAGGACTCTTGGGATACTGAGGTGAGAGCCTTCTCAGGCAAATTCAGTTTCCTTTAGTGCTGAATTTAAATAACGGTTGGAATATTCTGTGAAATTTTATTCATGGAGAGTAGTTAATAAAGACACCTTTTTTTTGGTTTTGTTTTGTGTATAAGGTCATGAGGCTTGACTGTGTTACATCAGAGATTGAAATCTGTAAGATGTGGTTTGGAAATCAGCATGTTTTCCAGTAAACCTGGTTATCTTTGGCCTGAATATTTCTGTTAATATATTTCAAATACTGATGTGTAGTACCCGAGTGAAGATACAAGAAAAGCATTTGCTACCACTTCTCATTTTGCTGTCCGAAACGGTGTAACATATCCAGAACTGAGGAGATGACTAGAAGGGATTATAAGTGTCTGTGGTCACTTTGCCTGGCCATCTGCTCTTCCAGCTTTGCATTTACTTACAGTAATCTGTTTGGTTGTGGTAGAAAGTCAAAAAGCATTCCAACCAGTGCGATACACAAAGTGCCTGATGCAAGCAGTGGTGCTTATCTGATGTTTAAAAAATGCTCTGATAGAGCTCATCAGTTTAAGCAAGACTCGCTCGTTCACAGCTGAAACACTTGAACTCAAACTATTGGGTTTCTACTCATATTTGCCATGATTTTTTGCTGGACGTGGGATAAACTGTTTCTTATTCTCTAATCGCTCACATGACAGGTGTTCTAGGATGGTGCAATTTGCTAGCTATGAGATTTCTTTTTTTAAAAAATGTTACTTTCCAAACTGCTGCCAGATTTCCTGAATTGTTGCCTGTATTAATCATCTGAAAATTCACTGTATGCATTTCTAATTAGCAATGTAGTTCTGTTGAAAAATGTTCATGAAAAAGAGTGTGCAGAGCAGAGGCTCCCTCCTGGTTTGTGCCCTTGGAAGTTAATTAAATAGATTTCTTTTAAGGTTTTTTGAAATATCCTTGTAGTTTTTTGTACAGCCTTCTCGCTTTAAAGCTTGGCCGTAATGTGTAATTATGAACTATTGCAGTTATATTGAACTATTAACTGTACTTTGACTGCAGAAAATATTTTGTGCTATGTAACTTTGAGCAACACACCTTTTATCGTATGGTAATGGTTTCAAATGTGTATTTACATTTAAAATGATAGGAAGCTCTGTATCCCACTGTTCCTTTTGTGAGGGAAACTTTCTTTTAACCTGTACACCTTTACAAGTAGCTGATGTGATAGTGATATCGTACGGAAAACGCTCTAACAGCTGAGATGTTCACCACGAAGGAGTTCACTGTGATGAAAAATGTTCCTGGCTGCTGTATTGCAGTTTTGCCAGAAGGAAGACCTGCTGGGATGAAGTTGGTTTTGCTTCTTGTGTATAACGGGTAGAACCGTAAATAGTTGCTTGCCATCTGACACTGAATCACTTGTCCAACAGGTTAAACACCTCTCCGCGTGTAGAGTAGTTAATGGCTAAAGGAGCTTTGTGGCGGGAGGAGGAAGAATTTAGTGTGGAACAAGGGATTGAAGTAGGAGTAATGAAATTAAGAATATCAGGAAAAACCTTAATGGTGAGTGGCAGAAGCACCTTTGCTTGTCCTATAAACACTTGGCATTTGACTGAGCAAAGCCGCTAAAATGCAGCAATGGAAATAGTCTTGCAGTAGCCACACAAGAATGGATGACCTTAACTCTGTCCTTAACGGCTGGTTTGTTTTGGGTGCCTGCAAGTGAACAGCATGGGCATGAACTGCCTGCCCCGCCACCAGCGACATCAGTGCAGAGGTCAGTTGCTGAGGCTAACATTAAGACTCCTGCTTCATGCATGCACTTGTGTTGTAAAAGTATGTTTTTAACACATTAACCCCTGATGTGCAGGCAAGGAGAATCTCTTACTGTTGACACTGAAGTGGAGGAATGTGCCTGCTGGACACAGTTTTACAAAAATCAATGTTCGCTTTCTCGAGGGAACGAAATTCACAATGTCGTCTGCTGATGAATAGAGCTTTTTTTTTTGCTTGTTTTCTTGTAATGTAGGATCATTGAATTGAGCATGCCCAGAAATTCAAGCCATGAGATTAAATCAGTATTATTCGAATGTTTCTTTGACGACTTCCTGTGCCAAATGGAGACATTCTTGTGCTTATAGTGCACAAGTGCTTCCGATTGATCTCACTTTGAAATTCTTGGCCATTTGTAAAGCTTTTATGTAGTTTCCTGATACTTTGCCATTTGCAAAGAGAGCTCTTGCTGATTAAAAATCCTCACTAGTTTTAGGATATTGAACTAGGAGAGAAAGTGTGAGTGTAGGAGCAATTTGTAACTTCAAAGAGTACATGAGAAGAGAATTGCTGTTCATCTGAGGGCATACGCACACCTGCTTTTTGTGAAACATTAGCTAAAGTACTAATTCTGTTGCCTGCCTTCAGTTGAACGTTGTCTGTTTTCTCTTACAGAGTGTGGTTTACTTGAGAACATAACCCCAGTGTGAAAATCAGGCAACCATATTACTAAAGCTGGACTTGGCTTTTGTCAAGATCTCTTTCCATTTTTTTGTCTTGCACATATTGCTGTCAGCTATGAAAAGAAAGATGAAGGGAGATTTTTTTTTTTTCCCCTTGGTGGTAGTTCAACCCTGGGTTGTTCTGTGTTGTTATCCCTCAGTCCCTCACTTTGAATCCTACTGCTCACATGAGCTAGATTTGATGCAAAAGGACATCACTGTTTTCTCCCACTAGATTGTCCTTTCATCCTGGGTAGACAGCATCCTTGACTCTGACTTTTACAGGAGGGAAACTGAGATGCTCTTCAATCTCTATCAGCACATTACTGTAACGATGTGCAATTCCTGCTCCTCCTGGAACAAACCACTCCCACACTCCTAGGTGCCAGCCACCCTGAGGATGACAGTAAACTTCTCCTTTGCGGTTCAGTCTATGAACAGGCACGCGACGAAAAGGCTAGACTAGAACTACAGCAAATGTTAAACATTAGTGAAGCAGAGCATTTACCACCACATTTCAGTTCCTGTTCAGCCTGTTCCCCGTTTGCCGAGAGCTTAGGTGTGGTCTTTTCCCTGGTACTTGCTTATAAATTCAGCAAAAGCCCTTCCTACTCTCCTGTCATTGCTGGCCTGTACATCAAGTCTGGCAGAGTTGTAGTGGATCCTCTGAAGGCCCGGCTGCAAGCAGCCGCTCGTGGGAGTTATGAGAATCTGCAGTTGTACTCTGCAACCTGGGGAATCACCAAGGAAAAGGCCTTTGCTCTGATTTTCCCTGGGAAGGAAGGGAGTCTGCAGCGTTCCGGCTAACTCTTTTACTTCCTGAATAACTTCTGTAAAACCTAATTTCTTGTGGTTCCTCTTTGTTATTCTGACTGATGACAGGATTCCCCAGAGCTTAGAAATACCATTGTTTCATCGGCGGAGATTGCTGACACACAGCAGCAGTTGCTTCTCTCAAATCAAAGTTTTTTGTCTAGCGTTGCAGCTATGCCACTCTACAGTATCTTGCTATTGAGGAAGTGCTGGTCTTAAATTCCAACTAAAACCAGATAATATCTCTGTTAAACTCATCTTGAAAGATTTTGAGAGCAGCAGGGTATGAATGGCTGTTTCTTAAGTTCCTGTCATGAGTGATTGAGATGCTACGTCACAGATCAGCAGATTACTACATTTAATGGGACATTTGTTTGGAAATTGTTTAGAACTTCTATAGCTGCTCAGTGTGATGTCAAGATGGGCTAATGAGTCAGGTAAACCATGAAAATGTCCTTTTGATACTTAAAAGTACTCATAAACTTCCATTGGGCTACTTTCCTTTGCCCTTGCACTTAAAACGTTGTTTCATTGTGTAGATGCCTGTCATTGCTGACATGATGACTTTAAGGATTCTTTTTTTGTCTAATTGTAGTCCAAATGCGTAACAGAATGTGCACCACAGCCTGGGGAAATGGTAGGTCTTTGACGTGATTTGGGCAATAAATGGGCTTCATGTGCTAGTGAATTTTTGCATTAGAGAAATGGAAATAAAGAGGGTCTGACAAACAAGATCTGTCAACAGCCTTAGATGTAGGAAGCCCGTCCCAGGACACAGTCTCAGCTTTAAAAACTTACACATAAAATAATCGTTACTAACTGCTCCAAAATGTTCGTTAAGATGTGAAGCTTTAGCAGTGAGTAATACTAGGTTCTCATTTCGATTTTTACCTTGATTTTCAGAAGGTGGCTGTAAGGAAACACACTAAGGAACACAGACTAAAAGGAAACAGTGTGTCCTGTGCGGTGGGTTTCTCTCCAAGGCTGCTGTGACTTGTTCAGCGTAACAGCATTGCATTTCAGTATTTGTGCTTCTACGCAAAACGAGATGGTCTAGCAAGCACCATTTCGTGGCTCCTCCCTGTCCTTCTGGTGTTCTCTCCCTCCCTGGTCTTAGCAGCATTGGGAAGAGGAGCTGGTTGCTGATGTAGTTACATCTGCTGCTTCCTCAAGAATGACTTCACATGTGTGTTGTTGTTTTCTCTTTGCTAGCTGAACCTAACACGCCAGCACGGGTGCAGCCTCGATACTGTTGTCTTGCTTGCTGTACTACAACAGAACTGAAGCATTTTTGGTGCTTAGCAAAACAAGGAAATTTATATGGTTGAATTGTCGCGATCGATTGTGGAACCAGTGCCGTAGGGTTTCCAGTCGGCATTGAGATGTGGTCCACCTCAGATATTCATACAGTGCCTTCCTGGGCCTTTCTCACTGCTCACTGACAGACATGTTGGGTGCAGTTTGCACCATTCTTCAGATTTACTCCAAAGCGAGGCCTTCTGGATGTGGTGCTGACTGTTAAATTACTGTGGACTTCTTTAAATTTATCTTCCTCTGCTGTGGAAAATGTGGGGTTTTTTTAATCTGCTGTCACTTGTGCTGGCTGCTTTTGTGAATTTACTTCTTAGGGGATGGCAAAGTAGCTGTTCGCTGATTCTTAAGCACCTAAATATTTGCAGTGTTGTCCTGAACAGTGTATCACAGAATAATGAAGTATTTCAGCTGTAACTAATGGAACCTTTCATTAGCAGCCCTTAAAATGGTGTAAGCCAAACAGTTTTATGTCTTTGAAACACTGAAAATGATGGCTAATGCTCTTCCAGTCATTACCATGAAATGTGTTTATCCTAAATGCTGGCAAACGAGCCCTGTCCTCTATGCGAGCTAAATCATGAGTTCTCTTTTCTGCATGCAGAAGTCTTCAATGCCTGTCGCTCTTTCACTGTCCTGTCAAGTAAATTGTTATGGAAAACCTCGAGTTAACATTGCCATCCTTACTTAACTGGGAGAATAGTTGTATGTATGTCAAGGTGTTCAAAGACTTAAAATGGGTATCGTGTTGCATTTATTTTTAACAGCCTGTTGCTTTGGATGCTTCAGATCTCATTTTAGAAAGATTGACTGGGAGGAAAATGCTTTGCATGGTGCTCACCTGAAATGTCTGCTAGACCAGCAGCGATAAACTTTTCCTTGTGCCCTGCCTGCCTTTACTGACACGTGCAGTTCAGTAGGAATGTTCTTTATTTTCCAGTTCTCAGATGAAATCAGCAAACTTCACTAGTGCTAATGTGGGTCATGGGGGCAGAGCTGGTGGGCCTAAAACCGAAAGATTTAAATCCAATGTGCTGGAGGTCAGCGAACCTCCGGGTGAAGGCTTGCTCGTCCCTTCAGCTCTGTGACGCTTTTCACGTGTTGGCAATAACGGAAACGATGAATGCCAAGAACGCACTTGGTGTGTTTATGTTAGTCCATCAGGCTGAACGTGAGCCTGAAAATCTGGAAGGGAGGGACTTACCATAAAGATGGTTTGCTTACCTGAGGTGTTTAATTGTGGACAGGAGAGAAAACTCTGTGATTTTGCTGTTAACCTTCTCTTTGTCTCAGTCCTCCAGCAGCGATAGCGGCAGCAGGAGCAGTTAGCATCAACAGCCCTGACAGAGCATGCGGTGGAGAAACCAGCCTAAACCCAGTAATTGCAGGATCCAGTCCCGTCTCCTCTCAGACCTTCCATGAGCAGTCTGCACTAAGCCAAGGTCCTTACTTCCACATCAACCAGATCCTGAAGGAGGCACACTTTCACAGCTTACAGAGCCGGGGACGCCTTCCTACATGATGAACCAGCAGTTCCCTGCCTTCTGTGAAGGGACAGCACTGTGTAGATTTGATATTTCAACTTAAAAGTTTGTTAAAATGGAATTGCACAAAATGCCTGTTGCCTTTTCAGTCTATATTTGAAATAACAGGTTAACAGGAAATTGTTTACTTGTGGTTTGCTGCACTATTGCAATGCAAAAGGGGCTTTGAAGCAATTTTTATAGGATTCTTTTTGGGGTGGTTATAAAGTACGTGTCACAAGGAGACCGAGGAATTCACATCTGTGTTAGAGGACTGCAAAATGTCCAATTCCAATCGACTGCCTAATCTGTTTGTTAGCGATTTGTTGCTTTATGTAAAGTTCTCTCAAATGTTCATCTTCAGTTTTATAAGTCTTTTTTAATTTCAATAAACTAGTAAAAAATTTATTTGGCAACATAATTTTTTTGAGCATTTAGAGGCAACGAGACAGTAAGAATAGGTGCTGCCACTAGAATCCCTTAGGACTGCCCCAGCTGCAAACTTTCTACCCAGCTCGGTGTGCGATGAGCCTTTTCTTGCTTGCTGCTGCAGTACCGAAAAAATGTGAAGCTAGACCCAGGCAAGCTTAGGCAGCTGCAGCTGAAATGTCAGGTGCCTGCTGGGCTCACTTCGAGAGCAGTGGTGCCTATGGAGAAGAGTAGAGAGTAGGCTGGGGAGGGGAGTCTTACATTGCTCCACTACCCAGTTCTAGCTGTGAAGTGTTTTGCTTTCTGTTACAGCGTGTAGTTGGGTTTTTCCCTTTAATTTAAGGTTAACAACTTCTAAAGAAGAGGAGGTGAAAGAGTAGCTGCACCTCTGTTCCAGCAGCCAGAGGACAAGGACAATCCTGACCTGTGCCTGGTTCAAGTGGCATACTGTGATCTGGCTAAGGGTGGAAAAGTACTTCTCTTCTGACAATACCAGCGGGGGTGGCACCGCTCCTCACCAAGGGGAGAGAGGGATTTCAGTGAAGACAAACACAGAGACAAACTTTTTATTTTTTATTGCATCATTTGGTCATGCCAGAAAGCCATCCCAGCTTGAAGAGAGAAGGTGCAGCTGTGTCTTCCTCCTCGGTTACAAGCTGCCTGAACAAGGAGCCAGGGCGCGATGCCTCATCTTCTGCTCTTGTCAGTGCAGGAGGCGGAATCTGTTAGTTTTTAACAACAGAAGCGTCAGTAACTATTACAGCATACCTTTGACTTACTCCATACCCACATCTATAGTAGCTGCAAGGAGGCGGAGACTACAGAACAGCTCTTCCCAGGCAACTTGAGCTTGAACCACAACCCAAGTGGTGTCACTCCTGGTGGTTAGTGACTGACAGACGGAGGTAGTTCTGAGTGGCAGAAGCACAGCGCCTTGCTGTTGTTAGCAACGGGTAGCTTTTCAGATGTCATTCAATGCTCAAAAAAAAAAAATATCATTCTGAACTGCAGGGAAGGGGCTGTTGCTCTCAGAGCAAGGGGTAACAGCACGGTAGAAGTACAGCTGTTGCCCTTGCAGAGAGCTGTTCCTGAGTAACTACGGACTTTAACCTCTGCAGAACTGTTTTAGCATAAAAGGAGCAAGGATCTGGCAGGGACTCCGAGAAGCGTGGCTAGCAACGATCATACGCGTGCTACCACAGCAGGTGAGGGGAGTGGTAGGAGCGAGCCAAATATCACTGCGCACTTCTACACTCTACTGCAGCTGAGGTGTAAGAGGTAAAGAATACCTTTTTCTTGTGAAGCTTTGGGCTTTTAAACCACCTTTATACTATGTCTGGTCCTTAATGCTTCTGAATAACAGAGAACAGGACTTGCAGAGTAAACATTAGCATCTCAAGTAACACGCTCTCACCTTTATACTATGTCTGGTCCTTAATGCTTCTGAATAACGGAGAACAGGAGTTGCAGATTAAACATTAGCATCTCAAGTAACACGCTCTGCTCTGGTAAAACCAGACCTTTACTCTTCTGTCCCAGTTGAAAAGACATCACTGCAGATGGATTATTGGGTTAATAAGAGCTGAAGGAAACAGATTACTAATTACTGCTTCCTGTAGTGGTGAGGTATTCCTTGGCGCTCTCAATCCTCAGCAAAAAGAACTCCAGTTAAGCAGATGTTTTAAACTGGGGGAAATGTAGCAACATAATGGTCATCTACTGACAAAACTCAGGAACGGGACAACACAGAGCCTTTGCAAGAGAAGCAAGCCACTCTGCTCACACAGGCTTAAATACCCAAGCCAGGCTTCGTCAGGAGTTACAGGTCAGCACTGCACTGGAAAGGAGTTCAAATAATTAGCTAGTATCCTTCAACATTTCTTGCAGCCATCTTTCAAGGAACCATCTTTTATGCATTGATCTCAAACTGCCTCATCTGTACAAGTCTTCGCTGCATTTTCATGGTGGTTATTGCCTATGTTTTACCACAAAGCAGTGGGCCCCAAAAATACATGGGCCATCAGGTTTGGTTTTTTTTTTTTTTGAGGGGCAAGGGGAAATCCAAACCATCTCATGCTGTGTTGCCGTAATGGTTCTCTCATTTTACCGAAAATAAAAATCAGGTTAAATATGAACTGTTTGGCTACTTTCTTATTTCCCCGCAAGCTCTAGTATTGGTGGGAGAATGAGTACTGGCAAAAAGTTAGTACGGCTCAGTTTTACCAACCTGAACTCTTTCTGTACTCCTAGCAGCAGACTTGCTCTTGCGCGAGCTTGACATACTCAGCGGCAGAAGTCCAAATCTTAAGAGATGGAAGAAAGAGATGTGGCCGGTCACAGGGAAGCAGCAATTCTAGACCCGCTTCCCAAAGAGACATGAGAAAGCACGGAAGAGCCGAATACCTTACCTGATCTGGCTGGATGCTAACGGCAAAATGTTGTGGAGCTCCTGGGAGCTCAGCGTGCCACTCCTGCTCGTGTACTGGTTCTCTGTCCCGGTCAGCAAGCCGAAGAGAACCTGGAAGGCACGAAGAAGCCGTCTGCATTTGGGGGCAGCCGCAGAGCTGCTGGCAAGTCTACTAGCACGCCACTTGTGATTGGCTTTAAGTTTGAACACAAAGTGTTTCCCTTCCCCCTCTTAACTTTTGCTTTTAATTGGCGCTGCTCGTTATTACCATAGTTGAGTTCTAGGCTTGTTTCAGTGCTACTTAACCCAATTAGCATTGCACAGGCTCCAGTGAATCCTGTTAGATAAAGTTCAGCCAGCTCCGTGCATGATTATGTGCGGTGCAGCCAGCTCAGCAAGCTCCTCTTATCTTCAGCTGGCACTGAATACTCTTCCCATCGCTGAGTAAGCGCCAGTAGTTATCTTTAGGCATTAAGCAGTTTATAAAGCCACCCCAGCTGCCCCTCAGTGCGTTTGCAGCCCTCCTTCCTGAGCCATCCCTTCCTCTTCCTTGAGCTTACGGAGGTTCGCTGAACCAGGCGATTAAGGTTGCTGTTCAAGTGTGGAGTAAAAACGTCCAAGTCAAACGGATCAATGTGTCCCTCCAGGAAGTCGGTCACCTTCTCGATCCTACAAGCAGAGCAGAGGAGTCCTGTCAGGGGTTATGTCCTAGCGATGGCTGACGATGCCAACAGGGCGGTTTCACTGGTCCCTCTGAAACAGTGAGGGACTTGCTCCAAGAGGTGACCGAGCAAAAGGGGAATTACTCAGCAGAACAGCAGCTGCCTAAAGGGTTTCCAGCTGTTACACAACCTACAACATCTGCTCTCGCAGAGGAACCTTCTCCCTGTGGTACGTCTCAGAGGGAGATGCCTCAGTTCAAGACTTGAGCATAAACAAGGTTTTAACGCTTGGGTGGAAGCTTAACTGTTCTCCACAGGCATCCCCTGGCGGTATCCCTGCCGCCCTACAGACACGCTGCGTATGCAAGCAGAGGGGACCGGCCCACTGTCTTTAAACTCTCAGCCACAGAATCCCACCCCTCCTACATTCTGCAGGTGAGCATAGTGTCGGTGAAGATGTCGGACCTCAGAGTCTGCGCTGTCCTTCTCCCATGAGGCCCAACAGCACCACTCCTGTGGGCGTCCTCCTGACAGCCGGTAAGGCTGTTGGTTTAAACCATTTTAGGGCCCCACAAACTACTGCTAGTATCTGAACCCCAAAACTGCACCGCACCTGGAGTCATGCTTGATTCTGCTGGTTTTTGCTTCCTCACTCTTTGCCGTCAAGATGATACTCAGGTACCGCAGATCGTAGAGTAACTGCAGAGCTCTGTTCTGGGTCATGGGGAAGGCGCCTGCCTTCTGCAAATAGGACAGTCAGGAACAGGGCTCTTCACTCACACTGAGAGCGGGCTGTCAAAGGACTGCTTCAGGGGAAACATTTAAAAACACCAGCACCAAGAAACAACCAACCTAACTGAACGGTTCTGAGCACACAATCTGGTGTCTGATCACTTGTTGCCTCATTTTTGGAGGAGGCAGGGGAAGAACGCACTCGCCCTTTCCAACTCTGACTGGCAGACATTTTCTGTTCCGAGGGACAGGAACGTACGCACCACCACGTGCCTGGGGACCCTCCCGTCCCACACCAGCTGGTGCAAGGGATGGATCCTACTCACGTACCTTCTCCTGCTTCTCTTCCACAAGCTTTTCATAGGCAGCGAGCACTTCTGCCATGCAGGTCTTCAGCAGCTCCTGCAAGGTGACTTTCGGAAGAGTGTGACCACCAACGCGGTTCACCTCTTGACACAGGCTGAAGAGGAGGCGTTGGACGTACCAGGATGGCTGTTTAAGAAAACAGTGTGATTTTCATGTGGTCTGTAAGCTGCATTAACTTTATCAACGGTACAACATCGCTTCAGTTCTCGTGATGTGAGCTTCCTACTTCCTCAGCAACCGCAAAGCTCTGCCGCTCAGACCTGCCTGCCCCCATAGCATAGCTCAAGTATCTCTCGAGTTTTTATTTACTGACACACCAGACTTTTGGTTATAGCAGTCCTCAAAGTCCCACAAGTACTTTTACCAGAGGGATTCACCTGAGCGTAGTGAGAACAAAATTGCTTGTTGTGCCTCTTCCATCACCACTGACCCTGCTTTGACCACCTGCTACCTGGGCTTGCTCTTCTCCTGGGCCGCCCAGCAACCCTGAGCTCTCATCTGGCTGCTTTTTCCTTCAGAATCAACAAAATTCACCTCATAAGGTTCACCACAAAAGGCTATTGCCCTGTCCAGCCCCTCCCGTACTGTGCAAACACAGAACTCACTCTTGCCCTGGCCCTCCTCTCCTTCTGTGGGATTGCCACCTGCTTTGTCACTGCTGGTGTCATTCCTGCACCACCACCACGTGGAAAGCTGCAAGCCACGGTTCTCCTAGGCTTTGCACAGTCCCACTGTTGCAGCCCTGTCCTTCAGCGCATCCAATTTCCATGAAATGTCTCTCCTGGGGGCCTCTGTGTATAAACCAGGCCT